GACAACTCTGCCTGAAGGACCTGTCAGTACATGCTCTTTCCCAGTAGATAAGACATTGGATCCTCCCAATGAGGATACTGAACTTTACCAACAGGACATTTCCCTGGCACAACTGGCTAGAGCAAACCCCTCTTTAGCAGTCTGTGTAACACGTCCCCATATGCTGTCCACCAGAATTCAGACAGAGTCGGGTTTCATAAAGCTTGGTAGGTCAGAGAACCAGCGCTCAGCTCCAGAACCTCTGTGTGGTGCCCACTCCATACAAGGCCTTAGGGGGTTAAGGGGACCAGGTCAGACCAGCTGCACCTGGAGGAGGACCCAGGGAGCAAGGAGGACTAATTAAAGAGGAAGCTCAGGTGGACAGGAACAGGAGAGGCCTGTATAAAGCCCAGCAGCTGACTGTAGAAGGAAGCTGCTGAGAGAGAAACTGCAGTCACTGTTAGGGTGAGAGAAGGCAAGGTAGGAAATAGCCCAGGGATACATCAGTAAGGGAGAGGACTGGGCAGTCCTTGACTGCTTTGGGCTGAAAAAAAGTGTAGAGGGAGGCCCTCGATTCCCCTCCCAGCCACTGGAGAAGTGGGAGCATTAAAGGGGCAGTGAAAAGTGCCTGGGACAGTGGATCTAGAGAGACTTTGATGCACATGATCCTCTGGAAGGGGGAGCTACAGTGGAGAGCCAAACCACGAAGTGAGAGCAGCTGAGTCCCGAGAGAGTGACGAGTGCCACCAAAGGAAGGGGCGTCGGCCTGGCGGAGCTAATCCCCAAATGCAGCCAGAAGGAGGTGCTCCAGCGGTGAGCAGGGCACCCCATGACAGGAGCGGCTGGAGATCAAAGTGAACGATCCTCACCGCCATCTCGGGCTATTACTGCACGTGGCAAGAAGGTGATAAGAGAACATCCTGGAGAGCATGCTCTAGCCCTCTTACACAATATAGCATCTTAAAAGTACTGAGACATTGTGGCTCAGATGTTCCTAGTGTCAAGAAGGAGCACGATTGTCTTGAGTAGCCCTGCCAAGGCCTCAGACAGCCTCGTGTAAAAGCTATCTCATAATGACACCATTAAAGAACCTGTTTACTGCAGGGAAGTTTGCATATCTGGAATATGTCAAGGCTTCAATGACCCCACAGCTTTTAAGCAGGGATGAAAGTGCCCTTGTTTATACAAAATGTGAGGGAAGAGCCAACAGAGGGTCAAGTCTAGACACAGGCAAAGTTGCCCAAACATTCAGGGAGAATAATCACACCAGATATTTGATGTAATATTTGCTGCCACAGAAAGGCCAAAGGGTAAGGTGCTGTTTTATTGATAGAGGTCTGTGCTGCCTCCACTTAGAGGCACGTACATGGAGACAGAGATACAAAGAGATGAAAGTGACTCTCACAACACCTGCTGCTTGTGGCTTTGATGGGACCATGGCACAGAAAGGGGAGAACCTCTGGGTTCTTTTGCAAACCAGAAAGACCTTTCTCTGGAACTCAGCCGTGAGTACAATGTCCCAAAGGGTGTCAGTACAGATGCACAGCATTTAAGGAGTGGGCCCCACATGCCTGTGAGGGTGTTCTATCTGCCACAAAAATGGAGTATTTCTCCACGTTGTGTATGCACCTGGTCCAGCTTTAGAATCTACTATATCACTAATTGGTTACAAACTCGGTTAGAAGCTGTAGTGTGGACAAGACCCATAGGGAGGGGGCTGCCCCGTTAAGCTCCCTGGAAGTACGCCCTGTGGGGAGCTGGTATTTACATCTTCTGTTGCAGAGCATGCCATGTGGCGTAGGCCTCATGCCAATTCCCATTGAGTTGCTGTACTTGGGGCTGATCTCATTCCAGGATCCTGGCATTTTTTTGTCTTTAGCAAAAGTGAAGGCTGTGCAGAGCCGTTTTTCTGTGCTTGGCTATTGGAAGGAGTTTGCCTGTATCCAGTTCCAGCAAGGATAGGCCATGTTATCTGCCTCACATTATTACATACAAGGTGTTTGCCTGATTGCAAAGTAGGAGCCTAAAGATTTCCCTTCACGGTGCCACTCTTGGTAGTGGAATTTCAGTGTGAAATATTCCTCCATTCCAGGTTGCCATCTTGGCCCCAGCAACTGGAGTAGATCTTACTCTGCCTCTTGATAATCACGAGGAACCTTCTGTTTCATGTTCCAGAGACATGATTTTGATTGACCTCCACTTCCTGAGACAGCCAGATCCTCAGGATGAGGAGGGGGAGGGTGGACAGGAGAGAATCATTGTGATGACTCTCTTCATTGAGGTGAGACTCACTAGTTGCTAGATAAAAGCTGGGTTCAGGAGAACAGCTCAGGCCCAGCCTAGGCCACAAGGCCAGCGGGGATGGGGCACGTCACCTGCATCTCAGCAGTTTTGTGGCCAGCTCCTCTCTGCACAGGGACTGGTATGGGGAATAGCTGAGAGCACAAGGGAGGCACAGAGTGAATCTGCGCCTTGCTGTTAGCTCGCTAGCTTTGGATGGGCTGAGATAGAGCAGGTCATCAGACAGAGGTTTTTCCAGCTCCCCAAGGCCATGATCCTCTCCTCTCCTTGACTGGAGTTCTGTTCTTCTTCTGCCGTGGGGTCCTCTCCACAGAATGATCCTCCTTCTCATCACTCAGTGAGATCTGGCGATTCCCCCATCCCTGGGGGTTATTTCTAACTTGTGCATTAGTCTAACTTGTGAGGGGTAGCGATGGGAATGAACTAATTGAAACATGAGCTGCTGGCTCCATACATGCTGCAAATTTCATATGAGTCAATGGCCATTGGGTAAAGAGGTCTCTCCAGGGAACAGACCCCACAGTAAGGCCTCTGCTACACACCCTGGTGTCGATTTGGCTCTTTCCAGTATGGCCCCACCAGACCCTGCTGGTACAAGGGTTTCAATCTCAAATGCATGACAAGTGGGATCCACATGGATAAAGAATCAACGAAGACCACAGGGGGGAAGGGCTGGAGGAGAGTATGGAACAATATTAATGGTTTGTCTCTTCAATAATCAAGCAGCTGCCAGACTTATCTAACCAGCTCTCCTAGCAGGTGGATTCTGGCCTGTTTCCTGAAGAGGAGCCAGTGGTGCAGTGCTGGTGAGTGACACGGGGCACAGTCGGCTTCATTATGACTGTGACTCTGCCATTTGTGGCATAGTTGACACCATGAGCATTTGTGGAGGCCCCCCGCTGTTAGACACAATGCACCAGGCCAGGTCCCAGTGCGGAGTGTCCGTTACCCATAAGAATTCCCAGCCCCATTGTGGCTGACCAGATTTACAGAGCAGTGAAGATTGCTGGCTGGAAGAGTTCTGGATGCTTCTGGAGGAGAGAAAGCAAGGATGGAGCGATGTCTGGGGCTCTTTCCCTTCCTGTCGGGTGTGTGGTTGGAATGGAAGACAGGGTGAGGCACAATTGCTGCTAGTCTAGGGCTAAGATTCTCACGTGCAGCACTGGAGTCGAAATTCCTTGGAAGCGCTAAGGACAGGTATGAACCTTGATTTTTATATAAAAAATGAACCTTCATACCTACTTCCTGCCCATGAGAGGCAAAGCCCCCGCCACTGCTTGTTGGTACAGAGGGGTGACCCTGTGTCGCTGGCAGGGCTCGCTGTGTGTGTGGGCCTTGGGCAGAAGGTGAACTGAGCAATGTTTGGGTTCGTCTACACGTGGAGCTGGGAGTGCGATCCCCAACGCTAAGCTGGAAGCACGGGGTGCCCGCTGTTACCCACAATGCACCAGACCAGGCCCCAACGCAGGGTGCCCGCTATTACCCACAATGCACCAGACCAGGCCCCAGC